ACAAAGAAAAGCAAACAAAACTCCTTTCAAGCCCTGGAAAATTGCAATAGAGTGAACTCTTTGGTCCTCTACCTTAGGACCGTGGCTCTCGTTGTTTGGTGGCATCTGGTACATCACGGAACACACAGATCCATCTCCCTGCTCCAGACCTACTGAATCTGATTTCCCAGGCGGCCACAGTTTCTACAGTTCCAGAGGCGATTCACGCCATAGGCTATGAACTAACCACTGTGCCAGGATCGCCAAGGAATTTGATTGAGGTATTGTTTCCTAACAAGATTTGCGATCGTTCTCCAAGGGAAAGGCCAGGCTTTGAGGGATGGGCATTGCTTCCAGGGACGGAAGATCCTTAAGCAAATGGGCCTATAGTCAAGAGTTCGTGATCCTCCTGTCCCATCTCACCTGTTAGAGTATCAGTGATTCGTTCATTTCTTCATTCATTTGTTCTTGTGTGCATTCAACAAGTGCTTGAGTGACTACTCCATTTCTCCAAGCAAGAAAGAATTCTGTTAGCAAATGGCATTCGAATTGGATCTCCACCATTAGTTCTCCTGGGTCTCCAGTCTGCAGACCCAGCCTGAGGATTTCAGACGTGTCAAACCTCCATCACTGTGCGAGACACTGCCTTGTAATAAATCTCTCTCTCTACACACACACACACACACACACACACATGTGCATTCTATTCTATTTCTCTGGAGAACTGGAATACAAGGCACCTAATACCTAATTCAAGTCACCTAAAATGGAATTCACATTCCACCATCAGAAGCAATTGCCAGGGACTCGAATTCTGAAATGACCTGTGGAGGGGAGGTAGGATGAAGGGTGCACCCAGCAGAAACAGTCACATGCAGGGTGGCCGGCAGGCAGGCGGCTCTCCGCTTCTTGGTGGCCCGTTTCTGCTGTGTGGCTTTGGGAGGCAGCCTAGAGTGTCTTCAATTTCTTCAGTCCCCGCAGTGATGCTGGGAGTCATTGAAGCGCCGGTAATCAATCCTCTAGCCAGGGCAGGCTCTGCTCTCTGCAAGTGAACCCTGACCAGATGGCACACTGGTCATTGCGGCTCCCGAAGCTCCTATTGTTCCCTGAACACAGGAGCCGCGGCAATCCAACAAAGAACCTTTATGGAGGCCCACACTGTGCGAAATTAAGTGGAAGCTCTTAGCGCACAGAAACTGCACACCAGCAAATCCTTCTATGACACGGAGGCTGAGTCCCCAGGCTGGATTTCCTGGGTCGCTTCCCATCCTCTCCACACTGCTAAATAAAGAATCATCCCCACATGCCACCATCTAGGAGGCTAATCTCACTCCTGACAGTACGGTGGCATCCCACAGTGGCACCCAGGACAGACATCATCAGGGATCTGGGCAAAGGATAAGGGGAAGAGGAGCTGTCCCTCAGACACAAGTGGGCTTTGCCCATCATGAAGGACTCATAAGCCTCTCTCCGTGGTGGGAAACATGGCCTCTCTTTCTCTGGCTTCATCTCCTCCAAAGCTTGATAAATTCAAGGCTTCAGAGTGACTGTAGTCAACAATGACTTAATTTTACATTTAAAAATAACTAAAATGGTATAACTGGATTATTTGTAACAAAATGGGTACATGCTTGGGGGGGCAGATACCCCATTCTCCATGATGTGATTATTACACGTTGCATGCCTGGATCGAAACATCTCGTGTACCCCATAAATATATACAGCTACTATGTACTCACAAAACCAAAATAAAAAATTACAAAATTAAAAAAAATTTTAATAAGAAATACTGACATGAGGCGAGAGTGCAGTGGCCTGATCTCCACTCAGTGCAACCTCTGCCTCCCGAGTTCAAGTGATTCTCCTGCCTCAGCCTCCCAAGTAACTGGGACTACAGGCGCATGCCACCACGCTCAGCTAATTTTTTTTATCTTTAGTAGAGATGGGGTTTCACCATGTTGGCCAGAATGGTCTCAATCTCCTGACCTCAGGTCATCCATCTGCCTCAGCCTCCCAGAGTGCTGGGATTACAGGCATGAGCCGCTGCGCCTGGCCTACCCTTTCACTCACTCTGCTGTTTTCATAGCTTCTTAACACAGAAAGATAAGGAACAGAACCCATATTATTTACTTGTGTGCCACTGGAAGTGAGTTCCTTCCTGGGGCTATTGGTCTATTCTGTAAACAGTGTTATGAAGACCAACCGGGTATTCTAGAACCCTAGGATTGGTGCTGTCCCCTCAGGAAGGACGAGGATCCCACCACACGGGGCACTTCGCTTAGGTGTCGAGGCAGGAATGTCCTTCTGCTCTTACTCACTTACCACAAATCCCCGGGTGCTAAGACCTCCAGCAAGGCATCCGTCCACGTGTTCCCTGCACTGCAGTTGGGGGGAACTTTTTTTTGGAGCAATATAGTTTATTATACTTTAAGTTCTGGGGTGCATGTGCAGAAGGTGCAGGTTTGTTACCTAGCTATACATGTGCCGTGGTTGCTGCATCCATCACCCCGTCATCTACATTAGGTATTTCTCCTGATGCTATCTATCTCTCCCCACCTAGCCTTCCACCCCTGTGACAGGCCCAGGTATGTCATGTTCCCCGCCCTGTGTCCATGTGTTCTCATTGTTCAACACCCACTTATGAGTGAGAACATGCAGTATTTGGTTTTCTGTTCTTGTGTCAGTTTGCTGATAATGATGGTTTCCAGCTTCATCCATGTCCCTGCAAGACCTAACACCATAAAAACCCTGGAAGAAAACCTGGGCAAAACCATTCAGCACATAGGCCTGGGCAAGGACTTCATGACTAAAACACCAAAAGCAATGGCAACAAAAGCCAAAACAGACAAATGGGATCTAATTAAACTCCAGAGCTTCTGCACAACAAAAATTATTATTAGAGTGAACCAGCAACCAACAGAATGGGAAAAAATTTTTGCAATCTACCCATCTGACACAGGGATCTTTTCTAAATCCGGGTCTCAGCACGTCTCTGCTCCTTCCGGAATCATTCCCTCAAGGCCTGCCGCGGCTTCATTTCTGCCCCCTTTCTTTTCTAATCTTGCCCCAAAGCATGCCTCTCCTCTTCCTTCTTATCCTCTTTGCTCCCATCCACATCTGGTTCTCAGTGGGGGTGGGAGGCTTCTCTCCCCTCTGTGCAGACTCGGCCCTTCCTCCACCCCCAGATCCCAGGCTTCTCATCACCCCTGCCCTTCCCACTCCCCCAGGACCCGCAGCGCCTGCTCTCCCTCACAGCACTTTCATGGGTGTCACTCTGCGTTTGGGTTCCTTCAATAATGCCTTTCTCTCCTGCTGAAGTACAAACTCCAGGAGCAGGAACCACATCTGGTTCTGTTCCTTGTTTTGGCCCTAGAATTGTGTAGCACTGTGCCTGGCCCAGAGTGGATACTAAGACTTGTTGAATGAGTGAATGAATGAATGAATATTTAAAAAGGGAAGAATGCTGAGAAATCCAGTAAGCTTAGAAATAAACAGAAAAGGACGGAGCCTAGCCTACGACAGGGTAGGAGAATCAGGTGTCTATATTTCTCACAAAGCCAAAAGCAGACGGCAGAAACTAATTAATTTCTATGTGCCCCACACCCAGCACAGTATCTGGCATGTAGCAGTGGGTACCCATCTATATTTGTCAAATCAAATGCAATTGTGCCAGCTGGTCTCATTTCTGATAACTGCCCTCTCTCCAGTAGCTTTAGAAGAAACTGACGAATTCATTTTTACAGATCAAAGGCAAAAGGCAATGCAGCATATCCAGTGAAAATGAAGGGAGCTGGTTCCCAAATACATCTTCATTTAATATTAGGGACTATTAGTCAAATAAAGATTGAAGAAAAACAATCTTATCACCATGACATCAGGTTGTCCTGCTTAAAAATTTCCATGGTGGCAAAGGCTGGAATATCAATTACGGATTCATTCAGCACTGCTAATTGCTACCTAGAGCCCATTTTCAGCTGTTTAGCAATAAATGAAAGCTAAGTATATTATACATATTTATCTATATGGAAAATTCCATTAATTTTATTTACAAGGGCGATGGCGTGTTTCAGAGATGGAGTCTGCATGCTGGCCTGACAGAGCCGACAGCAAGATGTTAGAGAAATCTATAGAAAGACCTCGTACTGCTTGTTCTGGGGTTTCATAGAGCCTTAGAAATAGGTTTCTTTCGATGCCAGAATTTTACATCTCTAGTCTACACTGTACTATTCTGTATCGTCCAACTGCAAATGGATTTGATTCTAGGTCTTACACATGTGCGGGCATTTAGAGATAAGAAAGATAAGCCTGGTTCAGTGGCTCACGCCTGTCATCCCAACACTTTGGGAGGCTGAAGCAGAGGATTGCTTGAGGTCAGGAGTTCGAGACCAGCCTGGGAACATAGTGAGACCTCATCTGTATAAAAAAATTAAAGATTAGCCAGGCATGGTGGCATGTGCCTGTGGTCTTAGCTACTCAGGAACTTGGCTCCTCAGCTACTGAGGCAGGAGGATGGCTGGAGCCCAGGACGTGGGGGTTGCAGTGAGCCGTGATGGTGCCACTGCAGTCCAGCCTGGGTGACAGAGTGAGACCCTCCCTGTCTCAAAAAAAAAATGGTAAAATATATATTATGGTTACCTATGTCAGGGTCCCCAGTTTCTGGGGCCTGTTAGGAGCCGGGCTGCACAGCAGGGGTGAGCGCCTGGGAAGCCAGCAGCTGATTACACCTGAGCTCCCTCCTGTTAGATCCGCGATGGTGCTGGATTCTCATAGGAGCGCCAGTCCCATTGTGAAGGATCTAAGTGGTGTGCTGCTTGTGAGAATCTAGTGCCTGATTATTTGAGGGGGAGCTGTTTCATATGGAAATCATCCCCCCAACCTTCTACCCACCTCCCCTTCACTCTCCTCCCCCTCCCCCGTGGAAAATTTGTCTTCCACAAAACTGGTCCCTGGTGCCAAAAAGGTTGGGGCCGCTGACCTATGTGTTATGATTTTCGTCTGCCGCGGTGACTTCCGTGGAGAGATTAAATTGCAATATTTATATTTTAATTGTTTTCACGGTAACTTTGATCATAGGTAGTGCCATTTTATTTCCACAAGATGAGGAAATTAAGATGGAGAGAATTTAAGAGTGTCTTCAGACAAAGCAGAACAGTGGATAAACCAGAAATCTGGACACTTATACACCTAAACCAATTTTTAAAAATAAGCCGAAGTTAAGGAAAACGAATTAAGTGTTTCTGAAATAGTTTTACACTTTTTGTACAAATTAGGTTTATCTCATCTGACTTTCATGTGTGGTGGATAACAGGAAGAAGAACAATTTGTTTTGTGATAAGGCTGTTTTACAAACCAAGAAGAATTACACTGTGTGTCATATTGGAATATTCAGGAGTAAAAATCAGCATGAGTACAAGTTATCATTGGTCAAAACGTCAAGAAACTGGTAAAGTCTTTCTATCTTCTTCCACTTCACATGTTGACTGGAAGTGCTAAAATCTAACCAGATTCTCCAAGGACGTTGTCTCTTTCTTTGGTTCCTTAAGACGTTAGGCTGGAAGAGAAGGAAAAAAAATATTCAGAATCCCAGAGCAACGCTTTCAGATCTATTGAGGAGGGAAAAGTCACGGATGAGGATGCAAAAAAGAAAGCTCCAAACCTAGACCCTGAGCTTTTGCAGAATCTTTTTCTTCCTGTTATTAATCGCAAGAGCAAAACCTTTGAAGCGAGCTCCGTTTTCTGCCCCGGGGGCACTTCCAGAGCCTCCCTGGTTACTGAGATTCTCCTGGAGGCCTGATCGGTTTCAGTAACAGTATCTGAAGCGTGTGGCATGGAATCAAGTGAGCCCCGTGTCTCTAAACCAGTTCACGACACAGCAAATCTGTTGTTTGGAGGGTCCTTTTCAGAAAGCAGAAGGGCTGAGTGGACCCAGTCTTAATTAATCGGTATTATTTTTAAAGTAATAATAGGCTTATTCAGGGCAAGTCTGCAGACCTTCAGGATGCATTCATCACTGGATGGGTCTAAGACTGCTAGAAACACTTAGCCCCTTTTCTGACGTGACCACACGGTGAGTATTTTAGTTTCTGAACAATAGAGCCTTCCCATCCAAGTAGCTTGCATTCCTCCACAGCCCATTGCCAGGCAGAGCACTCTTGGGGATACTCAACTTGCCCCTCGAGGGGTCCCTGGAAATGGGGACACACACAGCATCCTCAGGAGGTGTGTAAAGACAGATTCTGCCACTCACAGGCAGCATAAATGCCACCTTCATGTTCTGTCTCTAAATTCCTTATTCCCTGCCTTGTTGCCACAGTTTAGGGAGAAAAGTCACTGTTCCCACAGTGGCCTCCATCTTTCCCAGACCCAGCATGTCCACATTCCCGCAGCAGCAGGCTGAGCTATCTCAGACCAGAGGAGGAAGAAATAAGCTCATTTTGCCAAAAATAGGCAAATTGCTTGCCCAGGTAAACTAATGAATTTCTGTACGAGGTAAACTAATGAATCATGCTTGCCTTTCTTTGGATTACCTTTATGAAAAATAAACTGGAATATAAAGTCTAGCTATTCGTCTATTTGTCTATGTATCTCTCTCTCTCTCATCTATTATCTATCTATCTATCTCTGTTATCTATCCCTATCTGTTAGCTATCTATCATCTATCATCTGTCTACGTATCTCTAGCTATCAATACCTACCTATCATCTTCTATAGATACACACCCAGGACACTGTGTGTCCCCATTTCCAGGAACCCCTTGAGGACGAGTTGAATATCCCCAAGAATGCTCTGCCCGGAAATGGGTTGTCAGGGAGTGTAGGCTACTCTGACGGGGAAGCTCTTTTGTTCGGAAATTAAAGTACTCAACATGAGGTTGCATTAGAAAATTCTCTCAGTTAATTTTCCTTCCTATCATCTGCCTATCAATCATCTGTCTATGTATCTATCTTCTATCCTCTGTCACTCATCTATCTTTTATCATGTGTTAGCTACCTATCAATCATCTATCAGTCATCTATGTATCTTCTATCATCTATCAATGATCTATCTTTTATTGTCAGCTACTTATCAATCATCTATCATTTGTCTTCTGTTTTCCTCTATCTATCTATCTACATCTATCTATCCCATCTATTCTCATCTGTCTTGCTGCCATCTGTTTTGTTAAATAAAAGAACACACTCAATTTCTCTTCCAGTGCTTTCACTTAGACTAGAAAACCCCAGCCCATATCTCTCTCAGAGGCCACACAGCCCTTCCTACCTTCCCACACCCCTCTCTCCTCTTCAACTTAAAAAATAAAGCCTGTTCTGGAAGCAACCTGAATGAGCACTCTTAGAAAATGTGGGCCATGTCTGCCAGTGAATGTAATGAGTATTGTAAAGGCCCCTAAATAGCAGAAAGTGGGGGCACTGTGGAGAGGGTTTCTGGAGGCCACCCAGGAAGGGGCGGGGTGTGCTTGCTGGACTTTTGATCCTCAGAGCCTCGGCGTTCCCATTCCAGGAGCCAAGTGCCACCACCATTGTAACATTGATTTTAATGGAAGTGGACATGCATCAGGGTGGGCTGGGGAAAGCTGTCACCTGCATCTCATCAGCCTGGTGACAGCACAAGGGAGCACCCTTCCTCAGCCTTGGTGACCTCCTCTGACCCTCACTTCCAGGGTCAGAGGCAATCACAGGCACAGAGGGCTCTGGCAAGTCACAGCCACCAGGGAACAGGCTCCGTTCTCTGTGAATCTGAGGAAACTCTTCCTTATATACCCCCATAACAGACACAACCCACACAATATATACATCCCCCACACACAATATAACACCCCCCCACAATATATATACCCCACACACAATATAACACCCCCCCACAATATAAACACCCCCCACAATATATACACCCCACACACAATATAACACCTCACAGGCAATATTATACCCTCACACAATGTATATATCCCACACACAACATATACATCCCACACACAATATATACATCCCCCCACACAATATATACATCCCACACACACAATATATATCCCACACACAATATATACACCCCACACACAATATATACATCCCCCACACACAATATATACATCCCCCACACACAATATATACATCCCACACACAACATATACATCCCACACACACAATATATACATCACACACACAATATATACATCCCACACACAATATATACATCCCCCACACACAATATATACATCCCACACACAATATATACATCCCACACACACAGTATATACATCCCACACACAACATATACATCCCACACACAGTATATACATCCCACACACAACATATATATCCCACACACAATATAACACCTCACAGGCAATATTATACCCTCACACAATGTATATATCCCACACATAACATATACACTCTCTCACAATATATACATCCCACACACACAATATATACATCCCACACACAATATATACATCCCACACACACAATATATACATCCCACACACAATATATACATCCCACACACAATATATACATCCCCCCACACAATATATACATCCCACACACACAATATATACATCCCACACACAATATATACATCCCACACACACAATATATACATCCCACACACAATATATACATCCCACACACAATATATACATCCCCACACACAACATATACATCCCACACACACAATATATACATTCCACACACAATATAACAGCTCACACGCAATATTATACCCTCACACAATGTATATATCCCACACACAACATATACATCCCACACACACAGTATATACATCCCACACACAACATATATATCCCACACACAATATAACACCTCACAGGCAATATTATACCCTCACACAATGTATATATCCCACACACAACGTATACACTCCCTCACAATATATACATCCCCCACACAATATATACATCCCCCACACACAATATATACATCCCACACACAATATATACATCCCACACACAACATATACATCCCACACACAGTATATACATCCCACACACACAGTATATACATCCCCCACACAATATATACATCCCCCACACACAATATATACATCTCACACACAATATATACATCCCACACACACAATATATACATCCCACACACAACATATACATCCCACACACACAATATATACATCCCCCACACACAGTATATACATCCCACACACAACATATATATCCCACACACAATATAACACCTCACAGGCAATATTATACCCTCACACAATGTATATATCCCACACATAACATATACACTCCCTCACAATATATACATCCCACACACACAATATATACATCCCACACACAATATATACATCCCACACACAGTATATACATCCCCCACACACAATATATACATTCCACACACAATATAACAGCTCACATGCAATATATACCCTCACACAATGTATATATCCCACACACAACATATACATCCCACACACACAGTATATACATCCCACACACAACATATACACCCCACACACAATATAACACCTCACAGGCAATATTATACCCTCACACAATGTATATATCCCACACACAACATATACACTCCCACACACAACATATACAGTCCCCCACAATATATACATCCCACACACAATATATACATCCCACACACAACATATACACCCCACACACAATATAACACCTCACAGGCAATATTATACCCTCACACAATGTATATATCCCACACACAACATATACACTCCCTCACAATATATACAGTCCCCCACAATATATGCACCCTCCACACAATATAAACACCCCCCCACAATATATACACCCCACACACAACACCCCCCCACAATATAAACACCCCCCACACAATATATACATCCCACACACAATATAACACGTTCCACAATATATACACCCCACACACAATATAACACCCCCCCACAATATAAACACCCCCCACAATATATACACCCCACACACAATATAACACCTCACAGGCAATATTATACCCTCACACAATGTATATATCCCACACACAACATATACACTCCCTCACGATATATACATCCCACACAATATATACACCCCCCCCACAACATAAACACCCCACACACAATATAAACACCCCCCACAATATATACACTCCACACAGGAATCCTTTGTTTCAATTTTAGAGGAAAATGTGAAAGGCACAAAAGGAAAACTCTACAGAAATGAAGTGATGGCCCATTCTGGCGCAAGTCACAGAGTAGGTAAGAGCAGGAGGGAAAGGGGGACACAGGGACCAGGCAGCTGGGAGGAAAGGCCTGGCAGGGCCCAGCAGCGGGGCTGAGGGTGGCGGGACACCTCCATGTGCCCATCACCATTCCCTGGGCCCACTCTCGCCCTCCGACTTCAAACCCGAGGAAGGGCCTCGAAACATGACGACCGTTCCCCAAAAGTGACATCGGTGTTTCCGAAAGTGGCTTTTATGACTTCCAGATGACAGACGGGATCTTCCCAGACTCTCAGGAGCAGTGTCTCTTCTGTGCCTCCACCCGAAATGCCCCACAACCGGAATCCTCATGTCATGGAGAGTGATGGAGCTCAAACAAAGGCCGCAGATCTGAGCCGTGTTTTCCAGGACGAGGAGTGCAGAGGGGTCTGCACGAGGCAGCCTTCCCTGGGCTCCTCGGGCCCACCTGCACCTTTTCCTTCGCCCTCGCACTGAGGGGACTGTGTGTACCCACGTTTGGTGGCGAAGCCCCCTCTCAGCTCTTGCTTCCTTGCTGCAAGCTGACACTTGCAACTTGAAGTCTGGGACCTTCGTAGACATATTCTCCTCAGACGGATTTTTAAAAGCGTTTCTCTCCCCGTTCTTAAGTCGATGTCATTTCTAAGGAAATCTTGCCCTCTAGCTTCCAAACCTTACACTTGCGCTCAACCTGGTGACAGTCGTACGGTGGCAGATAAACGGACACCGCGCGCCATCTAGTGGGTCATTGTCATAGGCCCCTCAATACAAGGAAACAGAAAACGCGAGCAGAAAGGGCTGATGGAATTCTCCTGTGCGGAGATAACGCTGATACATGGCTATTCCCACCGTCAGTAGGTTTCCCATTTCGCCTATTTCTAGTAGAGCTACTTTCTTTCTTTGTCATCTGTAGTTCCCTCCCCTCTCCATAAAAGACACTTGTCACTCGTGAAGGTCACACGAGATCTCCAACAGATGTTTAAACTTCATTCATTTGTCAGAAAATTGCAAAGCAGCCACTCCCCATCTTCTCAGTAACTCCCGCTGGGAAGAAGGGAGAAGGGAGATTGCAGAAAGGTGTGCCTACTTAAGACACAGCCCAAATCAGTGACTCCATCTGATCAGCTCCTGGACCAGCAGGAACGCAGGTGGGCTCGGGATCAGCGACCGGCAGGTTGTATTGAAGGTCCTGCGAAGGCGAGCAGGTCAGCCTCGGGCGGACACCCGCTTGCCCACTGCGAATTCAGGTGACTTGACTCCGCCACGCAGAAAATGCGTGAATTATGACATGTGAGTAAAGGTAGAGACCACATTCCTTCCTAGTCATGAAAATCCGTTGTGGGAGTTGGGAAAAATGCAACGATTTTGTAACCTGGTTGGGGATAGACAATCAGGGTGAGTTGAACCTGCTGTTTTGTTCAAAATCTAATAACTACGGCTGCCAGTGTGGGGCAGCGGGGGCGGGGGGCATTTCATTCCATACCTTCTTATCTAATTTTGGAGTTGGGTCATGTAAATGTATTATTATTATTATTATCATTATTTTGAGGCACAGTCACCCTCTGTCACCCAGGCTGGAGTGCAGTAGTGTAATCTCGGCTCACTGCAACCTCTACCTCCTGGGTTCAAGAGAGTCCTATGCCTCAGCCTCCCGAGTAGCTGAGACTGTAGGTGTGCACCACTGCACATGGCTAATTTTTACATTTTTAGTAGAAATGGAGTTTTGCTGTGTTGGTCAGACTCGTCTTGAATTCCTGGCCTCAGCCTCCCAAAGTGCTGGGATTACAGGCATGAGCCACTACGCCCAACTGTATTATGTATTTTTTAAAGAAGGATACTGCTGACACATGGCATGTGTTTGGTTAATTCTGTGGAAAGAATGGATTTGTGAATGAACATAAGAATTTTTTTTGTTGTTGTTGTTGTTTTGAGACAGAGTCTCTGTGGCCCAGGCTGGAGTGCAGTGGCACGATCTCAGCTCACTGCAACCTCCGCCTCCTGGGTTCAAGCAATTGTCTTGCCTAAGCCTTCCAAGTAGCTGGGATTACAGGTGGGCGCCACCACGCCAGGATAATTCTTTTAGTTTTTGTAGAGAGGGGGTTTCGTCCTTGAATGTAATATTTTAATAGTGACAAATGATAGACATGTTGAGGCTGCTGGGGTGGCTCTGGAGGAAGAATAGACACCTCATTCAGCCTGAAGGAGTGAGGGTCCCTCATGAGCCAGCCTTCTAAAGAGCGTTCTGATTGGAGTTTCCCCAGCTCTGGATGGGAGGGTCTTCAGGTGAGGGGCCGCTAGCCATTCATTCATACATCCCATAAATACTTTCTAGGTGTTGCTCTGTGCAAGGTGCTGCACTCAGTACCACGGATATAAAAGAAAACAAGGCAGATGCGGTCCCTGCCCTCAGGGAGCTTACTGTCTTAGGCAGACTGAATTCCTGGGTGTCTCGTGGGGAGGCTCCCCTAAGTTTTTCTTCTCACCCAGTTCTCTTTTGGGACTGTCCTGGGGACAAGGGTGTGCTAATCAGGAAATCACACACAAGTCATAGCTCTACAGTGTCAAATGTGAAGTTGTGAACATGGGGTCCAGCAGGACCCACAGCTCATCTCATGGGGCTGGATTCTCTCACCTCTTACTTTTTTCACTTATAGGAAAAAGAAACTTCCAGGTCATAGAGAATAGCTAAGAAGCACCCCGGTGACAATGTTTGGGTCCTCTAAGTGGCAGTAAAACAGATGTGGTTTTTCTGGGGTCAAAGGGGTAGCAACGTGGAGATCACCTATTGTTTTTGACATTTTGCAAAGCACCCCGTCCCATCCATATCCCTCTCCCCATGGGTGTCTGCTTTGGGCTCTGGAGGGGAGTTTGACAGTGACAGACAGTCCAGTGGCCTTCCCAGCTTGTGAGGCACGAAATACAGTTTGTTACTGTTTCTTGTAAACTAATTGAACTCATGAGATGATAACCTAGAAAACGTGGCAACTCACTCAACCGGTATCTTCCAAAAATAAAAAAGATTTATGTGCTCAGATTAAAACTGACCTATTAAAGCCACGTGTCTGAGACTTATCCAAAAACCGTAGCAGTAGTCCTGATGTAATGGGAAGCTTCCGGGAGCCTCCGAAGCTCATTTATAGAAACAGACTAAACTACCAGCTCAGCCTCAAAGCAAGAATGTGGGTGGGAAAAGATGGGAGAGAGAGATGGTTCTACTCGTGAAACTGCAGCTCTGTTACTCATCCACACAGAGCAAATCCAATGTTAAAACACCCCTTTCTATCCTAAGTCATTCCAAAGCCCGAAAAGTGACCAAAACCAGCAGCACTATTTCCAACAATGATTACTAACTTACAGTTTAAAATGCTCAGATATTCCCTTTATGTTTGCATGAGCCCTGTGAGGAGACGTCACCGCCCGTGTTAACAGGAGCCACAGCTCTGTGCCTTGGCTTGGGTGGCAGTGCTCACAGGTGAGGGAGTTAGAGCTCCCGCTAAACCTTTTGGCACCAAATCTGCACGCACGTCCCACCATGCACACGGGGGGATCTCAGAACGGCCCCCCGTTCGGGAACTCTCCTCCACCTCTCATCACACTCACTCATAATGAAGGCCACCACGTGTACGTATTCAGAACTTCGAACTTGCCCTGATACAGATGCGCCAGGCGGTGCCCTGGGCAGTGAGAATACAGACGTGAAAAGCAGTCCAAAGCAAACTGTTTTGGATAAAGAAACAGGTCCGGAGAGCAGGTCACCTCCCATGGTGTTGCCAGTGGCAAGCCACAGGCTGCACATCTGGCTGTTGATACAGTCATTGAGTGGTAAGACAAGTAAAGAGGCAGAAGCTGATGATGTGTTGCCTTGTTAAGCAGCGCTTGCCACGCCTCATTAGATGTAAAAGAGTTATCTGAGACAGGGTAATTATCAGAGACTGTAAAACTGTTGTATCAGAAGATAAAAAAAGCCAGTATCAAAGAGAAATAATTAACTGCTTAATAGGGCAAGTGCGGAGCAGCTTCGTCCCTGGAATGAGACTCTGAGAGGCTGCAGGGGGCCTTTCAGCGGGGTGGGGTCTCCACAGCCTGAGCCACTTGGGATCACACCTTCTAACTGGACTTTGAGTGTGGACTGTTAACAAGGAGGGAAGCCGCGTGAGAAAAATCAAGGTTATCCCACATAAACTATATTGATGGGAACTTCAATTTCTTTTTTCTTTCTTTCTTTCTTTTTTTTTTTTTTTTTTTTTTTTGAGAGAGAGTCCAAGCCTGTAATCCCAGCACTTCAGGAGGCCGAGGCAGGTGGATCACGAGGTCAAGAGGTCGAGACCATCCTGGTCAACATGGTGAAACCCTGTCTCTACTAAAAATACAAAAAAAATTAGTGGTCATGGTGGCGCGTGCCTGTAATCCCAGCTACTCGGGAGGCTGAGGCAGGAGAATTGCCTGAACCCAGGAGGCTGAGGTTGCGGTGAGCCAAGATCGCGACATTGCACTCCAGCCTGGGTAACAAGAGTGAAACTCCATCTCAAAAAAAAAAGAGAGAGAGTCTTGCTCTGTCACCAGGCTGGAGTACGGTTGTGCGATCTTGGTTCACTGCAACCTCCTCTTCCTGGGTTCAAGTGATTCTCCTGCCTCAGCCTCCTGAGTAGCTGGGACTACAGGCACGTACCACCACACCCAGGTAATTTTTGTATTTTTAGTAGAGACGGGGTTTCACCATCTTGGCCAGGATGGTCTCAATCTCTTGACCTTGTGATCTGCCCACCTCGACCTCCCAAAGTGCCGGGAGTACGGGCTTGAGCCACCGAGCCCGGCTGTACCGCAATTTCTTTTAATTCATGTATTTGTTGGTAATCTGAATGATTGGCGGTAAGCGAAGCTTTCATCTATGTCTTGGAGCCCTTGGTCTCAGCAGGGGGCTGGTTAAGAGAATCAAAGGATCTCTGTGAGGCTGTACACTCAGGTACTGCATAATGGTGCCTTAGTTAGTGATGGGCAGCATGTTCGATGGTGGTCCCATAGGATGATAACACGTGTTTGCACTGTACCTATTCTATGCTTAGCGACCCAAATGCTCACCGTAGTGTTACAGTGCCTACAGTATGCAGTGCGGCCACATGCCGTATAGATTTGTAGTCTGGGAGCAAGAGGCTGTGCTCTGTAGCCTCGGTGTGTAGGAGGCTGTACCACCTAGGTTTGTGCAAGTTCACTCCACAGTGTTCTTGGAGCAACAAAATCACCGGACAATGCATTTCTGAGAATGTTTCCCCGCCATGAAGTAACGTATGACTGTATTTATGACCTGGGAGGCTACCTACTGAATCATTTTTTATGAAAAGAAATGCCAGCCAGGCAAGGTGACCCATACCTGTAATCCCAGCACTTTGGGAGGCTGAGGCGGGTGGATCACTTGAGATCAGGAGTTCAAGACCAGCCTGGGAAACATCTCTACTAAAAATATAAAAATTAGCCAGGTATGGTGGTGCACACCTGTAATCCCAGCTACTCAGGAGGCTGAGGCATGAGAATCACATGAACCTGGGAGTCAGAAGTTGTAGTGAGCCAAGATTGCACCACTGCACTCCAGCCTGGGTGTCAGAGTGAGATTCTGTCTCAAAAAAAAGAAAGAAAGAAAGAAAAGAAAGAAGAAAGAAATGACAACAAGTTGGGTTGTTTCTGTGAAGCCCTTGTCACAAGTAAGTAGGTAAGCAAAGGAGGCTAGACACTCTCGTTTCACATAATTTTACGATTTAATTAAGTCTTGCTTTAGAGATGGGATGTTGCTCTGTTGCCCAGGCTGAAGTGCGGTAATGCAGTTATGGCTCCCTGCAGCCTCAAACTCCCTGGGCTCAAGTGGTCCTCCCTCCTCAGGCTCCCACAGTGTTGGGAGCACAGGCATGAGCTACCACAGAGGCTACTGCTCACTTTCCCCCCACTTCCTCCCTTCCTCCCTCTTTCTCTTCTTTGTCTCTTTTATTGACTAATTTTGTAGCTAGTAGAAGAGGAAACTTCCTGGGATGGATTATAAATTGTGTTGCTCTGTATTTATCAGATTATTTCACTAGAAGTCTATATTTACACAATTTCTGTCAACGTTCTTCCCAGAGGCATTATTTCATACACTTAACCTCAGTAAAAATTCAAAACTGGTGAACAAGGCCAGGCACGGTGGCTCAGGCCTGTAATCTCAGCATTTTGGGAGGCCGAGGCGGGCGGATCACTT